ACCGAGTAAAAACACGTTTTTTAAGATTTCTTGCTTACTCTTGAATGTACTTTGCTTTGCTAGTGACCATAATACTTGGTCACGATGCGATAACTTAATGGTTTTCAACCGTTAATTTCGAAATCCTTGAATTTCAATGAAAAGTTATTGTCTTCAGTATCTATTTTTTTATCAATAGTTAAATAAATAGTTTTCATTTAAAAAATTTATTTAAATTTTATATTCGTATTATATTTTGATTGAATATTTACTGCTTTAGACATCTTTACTCCTTAAACAAAGAAATACAGCACTACTTCTCTAATTTTTCAATATTTCAATTATATTAGATTATAAATACTCACAGCGTTGAAAACTTATCAAGAAAGTATACGTCTTGTTTCACAATATCTAAATGGTGTCATTTAATCCTTTTCAAAAAGTATCTTCTAACAAAGAAACCAAGCATTTTTCTAAGTTGAAACAAAAATCTTATATTAGAAAATGTGCTGATAAAGCGCAGACAAAGTAAACTTCCTTTCATCCTATCTTTTTATGAAATACTGCCATTTATAGTGCACCAACACTATTGGGTGCCAATGCAAGTATGTAACTTAACCATTTAACTTCATGGTAAGCTCTCGATAAAATTTCAATGCCTTAATGGCCACAAGGAGCACTTGGAATGCAACCACAAAGCATTCACAGCTGCGGCTGCAGGGAAAAGAGCAACGTAACCTTCCTTCTTCGACATACTATTTTACCAAAAATTGTCTTTTACTACATTTCTTCTTAATTCTCTACTTTTACGGCACCCGTGTTTCCTGAGTGTGCAAAATTTTTTTTGAATTTTATTTTCATCTGGAATTCACATAAAAGAACTACTGTGGTTTACATTTAAAGTGGCAAATATAATTTTTAAAACAAATATGGCAAAGATATTTTCAAACTTCTGCTATACACAACATTAAGACAACCGTTTTAGAAAATTCTCAACTCTTCGCAATTTATGACACAATATATAATACAGGGTGTGCTTTGACAATGTGGCATAAGTGCGGAAGATGATTTCTTAGTCTAAGAAACGATGAAAATTGCATTTAATATTTACTACGATACAAAATATCAAAGCGAAGTCCAACCAGAAAGAATATTTAATCGAACAGCGTTCAATATCTTAAATTTGGGTCACTTAAATATTTGAGTGAGAAAACAATTTGTGTTTAAGGGATGTCTCCCTTTAACTTTTGCTCACGAAGTCTCCGCAAAATTTCACTGCGAATAATAACCGCAAATCCGAATATTTGAAGTATCTGGATTTACAAATATCCGATTTTATTTGCAACTCTGAAAAATTCTTTTAGTATCCGATTAATCAGATTCTCCGAATACTTCGTGAAACCGAATAGAAACAGCACTATTAAATAACGATTCATTACTTAATATACCTGAAAATGTTTACATTTAAATGGATTTATGATGATGATGCAAGTAAGTAAAGATGAATTAATGTTAGATCTACAAAATTTGCAAAAAAAAATTTTATTTCTATCCTGCAGTTTATCTGTAATCGACCTTTGAAAGAAGGTAGCTAACTTGCTTCCTGGTACTCCTTAAATTCCACAGTGCGCATGTTAACGTTAAATTTTTTTACATTACACTACTCTTATACGAATTAATCGTGTTTATGATGATGATTCTTTAAGTGAGATTTTTATGTAGATTTTCATTTGATTCTGTGTTTGGTGAAAATATAGTAACACTTTCTCTAAGACATTTTTTTCATTTTCTTTGAAATGAAAGTTTATGTATACATTTATGTGTATGGGATCATGCGATCTTGCACTGGATTTTTATGTAGGGTTAAACGAAGGCTCGTATTTATGCTAACAATCCTCAAACTATTGCCGCTTTGAAATATCTTGGCAAACATCTATTCAGTTATGGCTGAGTTATTGCCATTACAGCTGCTATCTTTATATAGTTTAATGTCTGACTGTATATGTGATTTCATAAAAACTATATCCAATATAATACATAAGCGTTTTTATTGAGGAATTACATCATTGATAACAAACAATTTATTATTTAACAAGCGTAGACTGAATGATCTGCATAAATCGATGTGACTGATATGCTATATATATATGCAGATCACATGCCATGAGGATCTGCATATTATATTTCTTGACAAATAGCCTTTAGAAGGTTAAAGAGCGACTTCTATAAAGAAATAAGGATAGTATATTACAAGATAGATACCAAATTTTTATGGATTGCATTGAAATAAATATACATTTTTAAAGCTTTAGGAGCTTTAATGTAATCTTCAATGCACATACAAAT